TGAACAGTGGTTTTCAAAAATTTTACCGAACTTAGAGGAAAACGCAGTAATTGTGTTGGATAATGCGCCTTATCATTCTCGAAGAATGGAGAAGGTCCCAACAACGGCTTCAAGGAAAGTTGATGTTCAAAATTGGCTCCGCTCGAAAAATATTAACTTTGAAGAAGCAATGCTGAAAGTACAATTATTAAGAATTGTCAAGGATCACAAGGCAAAATATCAAAAATACGCCATTGACGAAATGGCAGCAAGTCAAAATAAAACTGTGCTCCGTTTACCTCCATACCATTGCGAGCTCAATCCCATTGAGCTCATATGGGCAGAGGTTAAAAATTATATAGCTAAGCACAATACAACTTTTAAATTTTGTGACCTCAAAGGACTTTTCAAAGAAGCACTAGAATTAATAACAGCGCAAAAATGGGAAAACTGTATTAAGCACGTGAAAGACAAAGTTGAAAAGAGAATGTGGGAACTGGACAATATTTTAGAGGAACAAGTCGAGCCATTCATTATTGACGTTGGTGCTTCAGGCAGTAGCGATGATGAAAGCTCATCAAGCTCATCTTTCCAATAAAAGATGTCGTTCATCAAATTCGGTAAGTTATAAGTAATTATAAAGCTACTGTATTTTTTAATTAATTATTGACATTTTTGAACCCATTTTGGCAAAACCTATTCAAGAATCTACTTTCTGACAATGCTCAACCATGCACATTTTTTTACGTTTTGAACGTTTTAATTTGGTTACATATTTACCTAGAAATCAAAAAATATACTAATCAATATTCTAAAAGCAATTTTAAGAGATATACGATTATTTTTAATTTAGGCTGATTTAAACGCCATTTTGAGATTATATTCGACTGTATTTCACCAAACATCAGGCGGCATCCGAAGCCGGAAATCGAAGCGAAAATTTTGAAACCCTTATGTATATTTACATCATTATATATTTCTTACCCCACCCCCACATGATCCTATATCCATCACCAATCGTATACACATCGAATTGTGCTAATTTACTACAAAGTTACGCAAAGCAGCATCTACTATCTAAAATATGTACTGCGTGACTCTTAATACGTCCCTGCCGAATGTTACAGCGTTCGATGATCACGTGGTCTTGTTTATGTCCGGTCTATCTCTTATCTGAATATACTGTAGTTAACGTACCTTTATTAATAACTGTGTTTCTGCTCCTTCTGCAAGGATCCTTTCATTTGGAAAAACGAGCTAAAGACCCAGGGTAAGATCAAAAAACTAAGTTTGACCGGTTTTTATTTTTTTTCGTGTCTTTGTTCCTACCTCCGCCACCCCTGGCCTAGATTCCAAAAAATGTAAAGCTTTTGCGTCCATGGCAAAAATTTCATTGAAATCCAAGCGGTACTTCTCAAGTCAGACCGACGGAAATGAGTGACATGGTTTTTCATGATAGCCTCCAAAAAACAATGTCTCCCTTTCGAAAGTCTTCGCGACTACCATAAAGCCCCGCGAGAAGGCGTGAGAAGTAGAAGATACTAGAACTGAATGGAAGCCCACGCGCGTCGATAAGCCGTCGCAGAGAAATGTGAATATGATTTAATACGTGTAACAGTCAAGCCACTGCTTAAGCCTGATCGACTTAGTATGACTACTGACAAGGATATGGTGAATCAAAACAAATCGCATGCTAGCTCCTTTTGCCGTTGGTTCTGTCAACTGTATCGTCATATAGAAGTGCAATAGTACGTCTCTAGCGGCCCGTTGGCCGTTTAAATGTTATAATATCACACCAAGATTGCACCTCATCCGCAAAGATCGTCCATCAACTGCTGTACGGAATAAGTCACTTTGCTCACGACCTGTCAAGCGCTTAACAGAGATAAGCAGTGTTTTGCATAATGTAGCAAATCATGAGACCACAAGATTTATGTGAAGTACGTACGCCCATCAATTGGCGGCGCTGCTATCGACTTCACTTTATCTGCCAATAAATTCATGCGAAAGGATACACATTTAAAGGTTTGTAACGCCAGAGCGACTGACGCCTTTTTGCGCTCTTTCTTGGATTATTTAAATGGCTGTATCGTTATCTCTCTAAAGACTGTTCTTGTTCTGCTATCTTTCACGCTTTTATAGACAGTGCGTGGTTTGTAAATGGGACCGATAGATTAAGAGATAGTGTCCAATGTGCACCTGACATCAATCGCTGCTGAATGCCCGTTTTATAATATACTGGGCGTCCGAACTGACAAGTGCTAGACTGTTCGGTGACTGCATTTTTATTAAGTGTACCGTTTTGGTATCAACAATTTTTAACAGGTACGCTCTAGTCTGTTAGTCTATTCTATTCTACTCTATTATATCCTATCCTATTCCATCGTATCCTGTCCTATCCTATTCTATTCCATTCTATTCCGTTCTATTCCGTTCTATTCCATTCTATTCCGTTCCATTCCGTTCTACTCCGTTCTATTCCGTTCTATTCCATTCTATTCCGTTCTATTCCGTTCTACTCCGTTCTATTCCGTTCTATTCCGTTCTATTCCGTTCTATTCCGTTCTATTCCGTTCTATTCCGTTCTATTGCGTTCTATTCCGTTCTATTCCGTTCTATTCCGTTCTATTCCGTTCTATTCCGTTCTATCCCATTCTATTCCATTCTATTCCATTCTGTTCCATTCCATTATATTCCATTACATTCCATAATATTCCGTACTATTTCATTATTTTCCATTCGATTCCAATCTATTCTATCCCCTTCGACCCCTTCTCTCCATTCTATTACATTCTATTCCATTCTATTCCATTCAGTCCATTCTATTCCATTCTATACCATTCTATTCCATTATATCCATTCTATCCATTCTATTCCATATATTCCCTTCTATCCATTCTATTCCATTCTCTTCCATCTATTCCATTCTATTCCATTCTATCCATCGATTCCAATCTATTCTATTCTACCCTTCGACCCCCTTCTCTTCCATTATTCCATCCCATTCCATTATTTTCCATTATCTTCCTTCTATTCCATTCTATTCCATTCTATTCCATTCTATCCCTTCTATTCCATTCTTTTCCCTTCCCTTTCCATCTATTCATTCTATTCCATTCTATTCCATTCTATTCCATTTATTCCATTCTATTCCATTCTATTCCATTCTATTCCATTCTATTCATTCTATTCCCTTCATTCCATTCTCTTCCATTCAATTCCATTCTAGTTCTATTCCATTATATTCCATTCTATTCCATTCTATCCATTCTATTCCATTCTATTCCATTCTATTCCATTCTATTCCATTCTATTCCATTCTATTCCATTCTATTCCATTCTATTCCATTCTATTCCATTCTATTCCATTCTATTCCATTCTATTCCATTCTATTCCATTCTATTCCATTCTATTCCATTCTATTCCATTCTATTCCATTCTATTCCATTCTATTCCATTCTATTCCATTTATTCCATTCCATTATCCATTCTATTCTATTCTAATATATTCTATTACATTCTCAACTTGCATGATACGTTAAGCGACCTCTTCGGCAAAATTTGTATTTGAAAGGTATTATATTCCAATGTTCATTGCATTCCTGTCTAATGTTTCCCGTTCTAACAATTACAATTTTTATTTTTTGCGGTAATAACACCGGTAAATGACATCTCTACGGCAACGGTCTTGACATTGTGCTACAGGAGGTCACGAGACTGAAAATCACGCGCAACGTTACGGATAATTGATATTATTGGATAAAATTTATTTCCTTCTTCGTCAGAGAGATATAGGCCAGGAACCATGGCCATATCAAGATTATTCACATTATATTCAGTTCTTGTGAAAGAAATTAACAATGAGAAGTCTCATTTTTTCGCCTAAAAATAGCATGAATAACGAAACACAACCACGCATACTTAAAACGGCATTGATCTCTGTTTCATCGGCCCATAATCCGACGATAGGTGGCACCTGTCAGTGTTTTGAGCGTTTTACATACTGGAGAATTTTAAAGTCTTCTATTTGTTAATGACTTTATTTCGATTACCAGTCCTGTAAAAATCTTGTAATGAAATTTGTTGGATTAATGTTTGATCGTATAAATAATTACAATAAAAAGATGATTACCTTTGAAATACAGAATAATCGTACGACCAATTATAAACCAATAAATTCGTAGTTTCCTAAATGAAATATCGCAAATTGCTCAGTGGTTTGGAATTCTGAGAATTTCGGAGGCAGCTCCTAAATTACATGTTAATAAAAAAATGAGACCCCTGTAATTCACACTTGCTATTCATGTAGTTATTGACAGAAATGTCAGTTTCAGCCTATCCATGCGACTAATGGGTGACACTTCCTTAATAAGCGGTCTGAAGCGTGTTTTTTATCGACGGACATCAGGTGATCTGACAGTTTCTTACCAATACGCTAGATATTCTTCCAACCGATAGAGCCAATCCAGAACTAGCCAGTATGACTCTATTCCTATGATATCAAAAATATCGGCCAGAAGAGGTTTTTCCAAGATTCATTATAGCTCAGTATTCACGTCTTGCCTTCGTGTAAATTTATTTTAATTGAATGAGGATACTTGATTTCGTGAGATGATATAGTATAGTTTTTTTATTTAAATACGTATCGGAGCTCCAAACGTATTCGGACCTACTCATATTTTGATTTTGGAACACATTCCAACATACAATCCATGTACGGGCATTGTCCTTCTATGGATTGAAATATTTATTTACCCATTCTATTTTGTTATTGTTCTTTTATAATGGAGTAAATAAATGTCTACTACTACTACTCATTGCTGCAATCTGAGAAATGTTTTTATTTAAATAAAAAGCCCAAATAGTGCACTAATGTTTCTTAATGCCCAAGAAAATTGAACTAGAAGTTGCTTAAGGCGTGGGAACTATGGAGTCTATTTACTTGACGTTATTTTTTATATGAGGTTGCATACCTATGATAAGTATTGCCGTGAAAGATATTTGCCGATAACGTGTATGGGTTTATTAAAAATCACCCTGTAAATGAACCTGATAAGAAACGACTATAAAATGACTCGAATATTTTTTCAAAGGATTAGTTATTTCAAATCCATTCGAGTTTCACCAATGAAAATGAAGCTTACTTTGCTTGTTCTTGCTCTGCTTGCATCTCCACTTGTAGAGGTAAGTAACGTATTCGCAATACTTTTTCATTTTTTTGCCAAGGTGAACTTAGCATTTTATGAACATAAATAACATAAATTTTTATCTTCTGGTGGGTCACAAAATTTATGTTTGCCCATTGAAAACAGAAAAATAAGTCTTTGGCGATGAAATGAATATTTATTTTTTTATAAGCTTTTCTCCAATATTTCATTAAATCACGTCTATTGACAAATAATAAAAAATATCCGTAAATATTTTTTCGTGCTGCAAGAATAAGATTATACGTGCTTAAGATGTTTTCGACCACTTCAAGGGGTGAACAGCGTTTTTAAAGTCGACCCAATTGGAGAGAGAGACCCATAAAACTTGTATTATTTTTACTCTGCAAGTTTAAACTATAAACCTATGTACAGGGTGCGGCAGAGAGGATGGACGGTTTTAAAAAAATCATAAAATAGTTAATTTTTACTCGAAAACAAATTTATTGATCGAATCAGGTTCACAAGGAAATAGCATTTGAGACAGTCAAGTGTGGAAAATCACATCAGGCATGTGGTGGCCGAAATTGTTGATGCAGTGCTGGAGGCGTTCTTGGAAGTTCGCGTAGACTCTCTCCAACATCGCTCTCTCAACTTGGGCGACTTCCACGCGAATTTCGCCCTTCAATTCGTCCAGAGTTCGGGGCTTGTTCGCGTATACTCTAGCCTTGAGGTGTCCCCATAAGAAAAAATCGCATATGGATAAATCTAGGGACCGAGGAGGCCAATGAACATCGCCAAACCTGGAAATAAGGCGACCAGGGAAGAGAGGACGAATAACGTCCATGGATGCTCGGGCTGTGTGGACGGTCGCCCCATCCTGCTGGAACCACACACGTCGGATTGGAACACGTCGCCGTCGTAATTCAGGGAGAAAGAAGTTGGTGATCATGTGGACGGAGCGCTCTGAGTTCACCCATCCCAAAAACGTGCGCTCTCTCTGCCGCACCCTGTCTATTTGAAAAAACTAGTGATATGGCTTTGGTAAACGACCAACCATGGACATCTGTTTCGTGCTATTTGGAAACTCCTCCGAATGGTCTAGGGTTTATCTGAAGTAGGACAAGGGACAAAAACTGAGCAACTGTCCTCTATCCACAGTATAAGATCTATCGGAATTAGACAGCATCCAGCGACCACAGTCGTAACCCGGCTTTCAATGCGAACTGTAATGCAGATCCAACAGGCAGTTTGCTGTTTTCACTATAGAAGTGGTCGATTCTGGAGATCGATGGCACTTTGTTTCGCCTTATCTCGATATGTAAACCCTCTCAGGAAATTACGGAAAATAATGCTTTCGTAGTCGACCACCAAGTTCTGAATAAAAATTGGTGGAAATAAAAATATATCAATCGCTTAACTTTTAAACCATTTTTTGTTGTTTCAGTGCCTTTACCTGCCGGCGACAACTTTGGTTATGGAGGCTTACTATGAATGTTACATACCACAACCCTTTATACATCTGTTAATAATAATCACCGATGGGTGCGAAAACAAACCGTTTTTTACGGAAAGCGATACGGAATTGTTTGAAGAATTCAAGGACGAACATCTGCAGGGTATTGTGACTGAAAAGGTGTATGAGTGCACATCGCAATTGCTGAATCACCCAGGGCTGTATAAGTTTCTAAAAACTCCAGAGATGGAAGAAGTTAAAAATTGTTCGCAACTGTATACATTGCAGTACCTCCGCAAAGGTTCACATGTTACGCCTTCTGAATTCACAAACTGTGTCAGTGACAGACTAACGAACAAACAAGGTAAAACATTGCTCTAGAAGGGGCTAATCCTAAAATACCTTATTATCTTATTTTTAATCACGTTTTTAAGCATTTACTCTCCCGCACGGTAACACAGGTCAAATATGTTTGAACTCATAGATAAATCACAATGTTGTTTTCTCGAACAAATTTGTATCAGTTTTTTTATTATCCTGGACAAAAAAGGTGCCAAGCAACTTGTCTCTAAAGTTAATGTCTATAAAACCGTAAAAATGGTTTCAATACTTAAGAACTTAGTGAAAATTTTAATTTTTTAGTAGGTCCAGTATTTAAATTCAAGTTTGAGCATTGCTCTATACCGACCCCGAAGAGTATTTTTAGATTACCTTAATACGATTTTTAATCTTGTCTGTTAGTCCAAAACGGACGAAATTTTGGTTTTTGAAGATCAGATCCATCGAATATCTCTTCAAAGAAAAATTATCTAATACATTTTTTTCACAAGAGCAAGGGAATAAATGTTCTAATATTTAATGAACCAGTAACAACTTGAGACAAATGGAAAGCACTATAGCCACTAAAACCATTAAAATATGACTATTTTATGACGGTTTTCAGCACTCTTTAAAGATGCAGTTAAAATTTGGCCAAGACGTTTGTTACAAAGTCCCTAACTACAGAAAAATGTATTTGGGTAATTTTTCTTCAAATGAACTTTGTTTTCACAATAATAAAGGTTTATAGTATACATCTAACATTTAAATAAAGTTGTTCTATCTCATAAGCCTTTTATTACACACTGAAAACCAAATATACTAAGTGACATATAAATCCGAACACCCAGTTTAAATGGTTTTATTTTAATAAAATTTTGTATAAGTACTTAATGAAGCATAATAAGTAAATGATAAAAATTTCAAAATGATTGCACTGCTTTAAAGCCCTTTGACCTTTAATAATGTGTGGATGCACCCTGATGTGCTACGCATTCTCCAACACGCCTAGGCATGCTTCTGATCAGGTGGTCAATGCCATCCTGTGGTATCTCATTCGAGGCAACCACCAACTCCTCTCGAAGTGCTTCTAGAGTCTGAGGAGGACGTTGCAAATTGAGCAGTCTCCTACCCATCATATCCCACACGTGCTCAATTGGGGATAAGTCGGGAGATCTTGGTGGCCATGGTAACAATGTGACATCATTATGTTGAAAGAAGTCTATTGTGACTCTTGCAACATGTGGTCGGGCATTATCTTGTTGGAAAGTTGGATCTGCCAGGGTGTCAAGATAGGGTAAAAGATGGGGTTCTAGAACTTCGTGGATATAACGCTGCGCGTTCATGTTACCTCTGATGAAGATTAAAGGTGACCTGGAACCATAAGCTATAGCACCCCAAACCATAACTCCAACATTGTGATGTCCATGTACGGGCATTATCCTTCTATGGATTGAAACATTTAATTACCCATTCTATTTTGTTATTGTTCTTATACATTGGAGTAAATAAATGTCTACTACTACTACTCATTGCTGCAATCTGAGAAATGTTTTTATTTAAATAAAGAGCCCAAATAGTGCACTAATGTTTCTTGATGCCCAAGAAAATTGTACTAAAAGTTGCTTAAGGCGTGGGAAGGATAGAGTCTATTTACTTGACGTTATTTTTTATATGAGGTTGCATACCTATGAAAAGTATTGCCGTGAAAAATATTTGCCGATAACGTGTATGGGTTTATTAAAAATCACTCTGTAAATGAACCTGATAAGAAACGACTATAAAATGACTCGAATATTTTTTCAAAGGATTAGTTATTTCAAATCCATTCGAGTTTCACCAGCGAAAATGAAGCTTACTTTGCTTGTTCTTGCTCTGCTTGCATCTCCACTTGTAGAGGTAAGTAACGTATTCACAATACTTTTTCATTTTTTTGCCTAGGTGAACTTAGCATTTTATTAACATAAATAACATAAATTTTTATCTTCTGGTGGGTCCAAAATTTATGTTTGCCCATCGAAAACAGAAAAATAAGTCTTTGGCGATGAAACGCATATTTATTTTTTTATAAGCTTTTCTCTAATATTTCATTAAATCACGTCTATTGACAAATAATAAAAAATATCCGTAAATATTTTTTCGTGCTGCAAAAACAAGATTATACGTGCTTAAGATGTTTTCAACCACTTCAAGGGGTGAACAGCGTTTTTAAAGTCGACCCAATTGGAGAGAGAGACCCATAAAAGTTGTATTGTTTTTACTCTGCAAGTTTAAACCAAAAACCTAAGTACAGGGTGCGGCAGAGAGGATGGACGGTTTTAAAAAAATCATAAATGGTTAATTTTTACTCGAAAACAAATTTATTGATGGAATCAGGTTCACAAGGAAATAGCATTTGAGACAGTCAAGTGCGGAAAATCACATCAGGCATGTGGTGGCCGAAATTGTTGTTGCAGTGCTGGACGCGTTCTTGGAAGTTCGCGTAGACTCTCTCCAACATCGCTCTCTCAACTTGGGCGACTTCCACGCGAATTTCGCCCTTCAGTTCGTCCAGAGTTCGGGGCTTGTTCGCGTATACTCTAGCCTTGAGGTGTCCCCATAAGAAAAACTCGCATATGGATAAATCTGGGGACCGAGGAGGCCAATGAACATCGCCAAACCTGGAAATAAGGCGACCAGGGAAGAGAGGACGAATAACGTCCATGGATGCTCGGGCTGTGTGGGCGGTCGCCCCATCCTGCTGGAACCACACACGTCGGATTGGAACACGTCGCCGTCGTAATTCAGGGAGAAAGAAGTTGGTGATCATGTGGACGGAGCGCTCTGAGTTCACCCATCCCAAAAACGTCCGCTCTATCTGCCGCACCCTGTCTATTTGAAAAAACTAGTGATATGGCTTTGGTAAACGGCCAACCATGGACATCTGTTTCGTGCTATTTGGAAACTCCTCCGAATGGTCTAGGGTTTATCTGAAGTAGGACAAGGGACAAAAACTGAGCAACTGTCCTCTATCCACAGTATAAGATCTATCGGAATTAGACAGCATCCAGCGGCCACAGTCGTAACCCGGCTTTCAATGCGAACTGGAATGCAGATCCAACAGGCAGTTTGCTGTTTTCACTATAGAAGTGGTCGATTCAGGAGATCGATGGCACTTTGTTTCGCCTTATCTCGATATGTAAATCCTCTCAGGAAATTACGGAAAATAATGCTTTCGTAGTCGACCACCAAGTTCTGAATAAAAATTGGTGGAAATAAAAATAGAATTCTATATCAATCGCTTAACTTTTAAACCATTTTTTGTTGTTTCAGTGCCTTCACCTGCCGGCGACAACTTTGGTTGTGGAGGCTTACTATGAATGTTACATACCACAACCCTTTATACATCTGTTAATAATACTCACCGATGCGTGCGAAAATAAACCGTTTTTTACGGAAAGCGATACGGAATTGTTTGAAGAATTCAAGGACGAACATCTGCAGGGTATTGTGACTGAAAAGGTGTATGAGTGCACATCGCAATTGCTGAATGATCCAGGGCTGTATACGTTTCTAAAAACTCCAGAGATGGAAGAAGTTAAAAATTGTTCACAACTGTATACATTACAGTACCTCCGCAAAGGTTCACATGTTACGCCTTCTGAATTCATAAACTGTGTCAGTGAGAGACTAACGAACAAACAAGGTAAAACATTGCTCTAGAAGGGGCTAATCCTAAAATACCTTATTATCTTATTTTTAATCACGTTTTTAAGGATTTACTCTCCCGCACTTGTCTCTAAAGTTATTGTCTGTAAAACCGTAAAAATGGTTTCAATACTTCAGAACTGAGTGAAAATTTAAATTTTTTAGTAGGTCCAGTATTTAAATTCAAGTTTGAGCATTGCTCTATACCGACCCCGAAGAGTATTTTTAGATTATCTTAGTACGATTTTTAATCTTGTCTGTTAGTCCAAAACTGACGAACTGTTGGTTTCTGAAGATCAGATCCACCGAATATCTCTTCAAAGAAAAATTACCTAACACATTTTCTTCACAAGAGCAAGAAAATAAATGTTCTACTATTTAATAAACCAGTAACAACTTGAGACAAATGGTAAGCACTCTATCCACTAAAACCATTAAAATATGATATATTTTATGACGGTTTTCAGCACTCTTTAAAGATGCAGTTAAAATTTGGCCAAGACGTTTGTTACAAAGTCCCTAACTACAGAAAAATGTATTTGGGTAACTTTTCTTCAAATGAACTTTGTTTTCACAATGATAAAGGGTTATAGTATACATCTAACATTTAAATAAAGTTTTTCTATCTCATAAGCCTTTTATTACACACTGAAAACCAAATATACTAAGTGACTTATAAATCCGAACACCCAGTTTAAATGGTTTTATTTTAATAAAATTTTGTATAAGTACTTAATGAAGCATAATAAGTAAAAGATAAAAATTTCAAAATGATTGCACTGCTTTAAAGCCCTTTGACCTTTAATAATGTGTGGATGCACCCTGATGTGCTACGCATTCTCCAACGCGCCTAGGCATGCTTCTGATCAGGTGGTCAATGTCCTCCTGTGGTATCTCATTCCAGGCAAGCACCAACTCCTCTCGAAGTGCTTCTAGAGTCTGAGGAGGACGTTGCAAATTGAGCAATCTCCTACCCATCATATCCCACACGTGCTCAATTTTGGATAAGTCGGGAGATCTTGGTCGCCATGGTAACAATGTGACATCATTATGTTGAAAGAAGTCTATTGTGACTCTTGCAACATGTGGTCGGGCATTATCTTGTTGGAAAGTTAGATCTGCCAGGATGTCAAGATAGGGTAAAAGATGGGGTTCGTGGATATAACGCTGCGCGTTCATGTTACCTCTGATGAAGATTAAAGGTGACCTGGAACCATAAGCTATAGCACCCCAAACCATAACTCCAACAGTGTGATGAACATGTCTTTCAACAGAAAACTGTGGATTCCTTCTTTCACCACGTCGTCTTCTAACCCTGGCAGGACCATCGTGCATACCTAAATAAAATCGAGACTCGTCACTAAAGACAATACTGTTCCATTCCTGATCCCAAAGTGACCATTGTCTGCACCACTCAAGGCGATTACGTCGGTGTTCTCGAGTTAAAGGGAGGACCCAGTGTGGCCGGTATGAAAACAAGCCAAAACTTCTCATTCATCGGTAAACACTTCGCATGCCAATAGGTCTTCCGTGTTCTGCAAACCATTCATTTGCAATGGACCTGGTAGTGGAGAAACGGTCCCTTAAGGCCAATAATCTTAGGCGGCGATCTTCACGGTCTGTTGTTCTATGGCGGCGTCCAGTGCCCCTTGCTCTTTGCGTACGGCCTTCTCGAAGCCATGCCTGCGAACACCTAACCACAGTGTCTACACTTCTTTGCACTCTAACTGCAATTGCCCGAAAAGAAAGTCCAGCTTCCCGAAGTCCCACTATACGGCCCCTATCAAACTCACTAAGTTGACGAAATTGTACAGGTCTCCGTACTCTAGGCATCGTAACCGATCGTAAAGGATGTCAAGAACCAAAATCCGCCAACGTTGATTCTTTACTGCGGCTGAAATATTCATTTTTAGAGCGTTAGTGAATTAAAAAAAAGCAGTGTAAAAACCGGAATGTTCAACTGATAAGGCTGAAAATTTTTTTACTTGTTATTTACAGTAAGATAAATACATTCACCAACTTTTATTAAAATAAAACCATTTAAACTGGGTGTTCGGATTTATATGTCACTTAGTATATCACTGACGTCGTGATGTATGTGAGACAGAAGCGCGAGCAGCATACAATACGCATGTTAGAAAGAAATAGAAGCACCTCGTTGCCTAGTAACCCGAGTGATAAGGCCGCGCACGCTACGAGGGATGTCCTTTAAGTTCTGCATATGGAAATAAAACAACACGGTAGGTAGTTTTAAATGACTATATTGTTTTTCGAAGTATTCTCTACGAAGATTAATACACATGTGCATGCGCTCGAACCAATTTTCGAAGCACTTATTCCACTCGTTTGCTGGCAGATCCAAAACGGCATTTTTGAATGCGTCAACTGCTTCTTCTAGTGATTGGAACCTTTGACCACGCAGTCTGTTTTTAATTTTCGGGAAAGTAAAGAAATCGTTAGTTCTTAGATCGGGACGATATGGAGGATGGTCCAATAATTCAACGTTTTCTTCTGTTAAATACTGCCTTGTTTTTGGGGCTGTGTGCGAGCTTGCATTGTCTTGATGGAGGATGATTCTTCTTTCGGGGTTGATTTTTCGAGTAACAGTTCTTTGCTCATTAAGAATATTTTTCAAAAATCGGGAAAAGGTTGTCAGAAAGCATAAAAAACGCGGAGAAATTAAATTATAGTAACACCAGATTATATAACTCATTATATCTGGAACCGACCGATACGCATGAAGTAAAGACAATAAACAATGAATTGAAATTAAGAAAATCTCCAGGTCTAGATAATATAACAGCGTATACTCTCAAGAGAATAAATTGCAACATCTATTTGATAAATTCTTGTATGAATAAAGGAATATTCCCTTCACGTTTAAAACACGCTATGGTAAAACCTTTATTTAAATCTGGAGAAAGAGAAAAACCCATCAACTATCGACCAGTTTCCATCTTAACAAATTTTTCTAAAATATTTTAAAAAGTGTTAAAAAACGATTCACCGAATTTGCAAAAAAACATAACTTAATAGCGGAACAGCAATATGGTTTTCAAGAAGGCAAATCTGCTCAAGATGCTATTGTAAAATTAACAAATAAAATATACACGAACCTCGATATTGGCAAACCAACTGCTTGTGTTTTTGTTGACTTGGCAAAGGCATTCGACTCTATTACTCATGAATCGCTTTTAACAACTTTATAAAAGAGCTTGAGCTTGATAAGAGACTATCTCCATAGGTCTGTTTAGCACTGCGCCGAAGTCTGAAGCAAAACCTATTACTTGAAATTGATGCCACCCATGTTTAGAACACAATATGAGAAACTGGAAGATCCGGTGACTTATCACTTAACCTACAGCCCTCCAAAGGGGTTCATCAGATGTCAATTGAAAATTTCAAGATGGCGGATGGGCGCTATTTTGGAACATATTTGAAAAATGAATGAGGAGTGGTGTGATACATACTTTCAAAGCTCCTCATGATCATAGAATATCATAATCACCATATTTCAAAATAAGAAGCAAGCAGGCAGTCGAGGTGGAGAATAATATATCCGAGTATGTAATAAAATATGAAACATTCCATATAAAACAATTGTGAAAACCTGTCATTTATTGATTCCGAATATTCCTTATTATATGGTACGTTCAGATCCGCCATCTTGAAATTCTCAACTGTTATTGTCAATTTTTGCCTTGCTAACAACACTTTCCCGTCCAGCTGGAAATACTCTAAAGTTATCTCTATCTCAAAGACTGGTAATCCAAAAGAATTTTCTCATTTTCGCCCTATAAATATTCTACCTACCTCTTCGAAAATATTAGAAAAAATCGTAGCTTTCCAACGAAAAACATTTATTACATCTAATAATATACTTCCTACCACACAATCGGGCTTTCGCTCTGGCCATGGTACTACAACCGCACTTGCAACCGTTACAGATGTCTTATTCAGAGCATGTGACAATAAGATGTATACTAAGTGACATATAAATCCGAACACCCAGTTTAAATGGTTTTATTTTAATAAAAGTTTTGGCTTGTTTTCATACCGGCCACACTGGGTCCTCCCTTTAACTCGAGAACACCGACGTAATCGCCTTGAGTGGTGCAGACAACGGTCACTCTGGGATCAGGAATGGAACAGTATTGTCTTTATTGACGAGTCTCGATTTTGTTTAGGCATGCACGATGGTCGTGCCAGGGTTAGAAGGCGACGTGGTGAAAGGAGGAATCCACTGTTTTTTGTTGAAAGACATTTTCATCACACTGTTGGAGTTATGGTTTGGGGTGCTATAGCTTATGGTTCCAGGTCACCTTTAATCTTCATCAGAGGTAACATGAACGCCCAGCGTTATATCCACGAAGTTCTAGAACCCCATCTTTTACCCTGACACCCTGGCAGATCCAACTTTCCAACAAGATAATGCCCGACCACATGTTGCAAGAGTCACAATAGACTTCTTTCAGCATAATGATGTCACATTGTTACCATGGCCACCAAGATCTCCCGACTTAACCTCAATTGAGCACGTGTGGGGTATGATGGGTAGGAAATTTCTCAATTTGCAACGTCCTCCTCAGACTCTAGAAGCACTTCGAGAGTAGTTGGTGGTTGCCTGGAATGAGATACCACAGGAGGACATTGACCACCTGATCAGAAGCATGCCTAGGCACGTTGGAGAATGCGTAGCACATCAGGGTGCATCCACACATTATGAAAGGTCAAAGGGCTTTAAAGCAGTGCAATCATTTTGAAATTTTTATCATTTACTTATTATGCTTCATTAAGTACTTATACAACATTTTATTAAAATAAAACCATTTAAACTGGGTGTTCGGATTTATATGTCACTCAGTATATATTGCAAAAATTGCAATACAGAGCAATCTGTACAAGAACTTACAGGACAAGTGCTTGAAAATTTTCAAGATGGAAATAAGACTGTTGTTTGATCCAAAATGAATTTCAGGCAGCGCCTAACCACGGGCCGACATTTAGTCCCAGATAACAATAGCTAAGAAGCCATAAATTTCTTCCAACTATTATTTTATTAATAGAATTATTTTCCAATTCATCAGCTTATTTGATTATAATTGTAGTTATGAGGTAGATAATTGGATTGGAGTGATTACGATAAAAGTAGAAATAACAAATTATTTAATTTCCACATCGCGGTTTCTAATCACGATGCAATTATATTAACCTAAAATTTATTACAAAATATTGGATAGCAAACATATCCTTGAAGATCGAGTAACATTTGTCGAATTTTCAAAATTTGAGAAACGTTCAAGATCTTCCACGTTCTCAAAATTTTCAAAACTCTCAAGATAGTAAGCATTTTTTATGACCGAAAATTTCCGAAATTGTCAAAGTTTTCAAGGGTCAAAGTTTTCAAGGTTTTTTTTTTATTTCATTTTAAATTCTCAAGATTCCAAAATTCGGTAGCAGTAGAAAATTTAAAAAATGTCGAAAATCGTGGTAATTATTACAAGTTTGAAAATTTTCCAAATTTGAAAACATGTAGCCTGCTGCTAAATACAAATACAAACGATATATCAGTCCTCAAATGACACTCGATGCCCAAAGAACGTCCATATGTGGATGAATTTCAGACAAAATATGTCCCTACGAGCCCCTTACCACTTCAGTTAGCCCAACTATTGGAATCTTAGTTTTTTTCTTATCAAACACAAATAATAAAAATGTAGCAGGGTGTTATAGGTTTAAAATATTAACAATGAATATTTTGATAATATATAGTAGAAAACACCGACTTAATCACTCCCTAATCAAATTTGCAGCATAAAAATAACATGTTGCAATTACAGCATATCAACCTATTTTCATTTCAATGCAAAATAAGTCTATAACGCATAGGTGGCTGTGAAAAATAAAAGCCATGACAATTGTTTTTATTAACCGCAGCTGTCAGAATACGTTTAAAATAGTTTTGGGTAGTTAAGGTTTTCAAAATGAGTAGAGGAAAGGTTATTAGTGAGAAAATTCTGTTACTGATAATTAAATTTTTTAATTCTGGGAAATCAAACTCAGAAATTGCAACTTTGTTAGACTTATCGTGATACAGTGTGAGAAATATTGTTAGAAGATATAACGTAACTGGTTCAATTAATATAAAGCCACGATATGTGAAAAAAAGTAATATCACAAATGCCGACCGAAGAGCATTAAGAAGAATAATCGTAAAAAACAGGCGTGCCAATTATTTACAATTAAGTGCTCTGTTGGGTGACGCTGTTGGAAGGAGAATTTCGAGGTCCACAACTCATTGAGAGGTCCACAAACTGGGATTTAGTACTTGCAAGGTAAGTTTTCTTATACAAAAAGTGAAGTAAAAACTCTAAAGTTGCACAACTTGTTTATAGGCCAAAGAAAAGCCTCTATTAACTCCACTGCAAAAGAAAAATCGGTTTAGATGGGCTAAAGAACATAGACAATGGACACCTCAACAATGGTGTGCAATACAATGGAGTGATGAGGCCCGATTCGAAGTTTGTGTTGGTGACAGTCGCAGTAGAGTTATTCGCAAAAAAAATGAAGCATTCCGTGTTGACTGTCTGAAGAGAAAAGTGAAATTTCCTGCATCCATTATGGTCTGGGGCAGCATGTCATCAAAAGGAGTAGGAAAACTTCATTTTATTGACGGAAATGTGGATACAAACACATATTTGGCAATTTTAGAAGAATCGCTTTTACTAGTGATCGAAGAATGTTTGACATCCGGCCAAGATTTTGTGTTTCAGCAAGATAATGTACTACTTTTGAAAGGGGTTTCTAGCAGTCCAGATCTGTCACCTATTGAAACTTTGTGGCACGAGATATAAAAGGTTCTACGACAACATTATGCTCGTACAATCCCCGAACTGAGACAAAAGCTTCAAGAAATATGGGCTTATTTTACACCAAATTTTTGTCAAAATTAGGGTAACACTATGCCCCAAAGAATTTCAGTCGTAATAAAAAATAAAGGTGATGTTACCAAATGGTAATCTTTCAATTGTTGCTTTGTTAACTTCGCGCATTTGTTCGCACATTGTTTATTTGTTCAGATGTTCTATTAGTTATAGGTTTAAGTGATTCCAAATATGTATTTTTTACGACTAGAGTGTATCTAAAATTTTTTTGAGAAAATAAATTGTTTTAGAAGTAAATAGTTTCATGTTTAGTTTATAAAGGCATCTTTTGATACAAATCTTGAAGTGGGCCAACTGAAGTGGGAAGGGGCTCGTAGATGGTCCCATCAGGAATTCCTCTAAATCTGAACATGGTTGTTGAAAAAAAGCACCCAAAAGCACGGCCTGCTTTGATGGATGAGCCAACTTTGTCAGGACGCCATTCATTCCGGCTTGTCGCAGTTCAGTCTCTAGAGAACATAAAGTGACTCGAACACGCCCTATGCTGTACTTGAACGTTCATCTATAATTTCTAGTAACTCAGGTGCAAGAAGGTATTTATACATGACACAATATACCGGTATCTATGCTGCTTCAGTATAATAAAAACTGAAACTAATCGCTGATGTGTAGGAGGGAAAATTAAGGTGAAAATGCAATTAGAAGACATAATATTGCATGTTTAATATTCCGCGACATGCAGCTTAGTTCAAGCTCATCACACAGAATCTACAAAGTTCATCTGATTTGAACCGTGAAATATCTGAACGAATCGGAGATTCCTCACTAACGGAAATATCAGATTATTCGCTTACATAGTGGATCCTAAAATCCTGAAAGTCCCCGATTCTTGATCTGTTGATTCCTTTACAACTAATTTTACAAGAGGACGTTTCATATTTATAATTTCGGCACAGCTGTTAATTGCGATATAGTTAGAATGAGGTTCAATATTATTCCGGTGGCAGGCGGATACAGCAGAAACAAATATCAATTAATGAACTTCCGTTACGAATTGTAACAATTTGAAAAAATTACGGGTTATGTGTCACGTGCCAAACTCACGTTACATTTTTTTTTTACTATTTATCGCTTATCCGTAATTTGAATTTCTCTTCATTGATAATATTCCTAGGCCAAACCCTTTTCAATGATGTTCTTTTGGCAAATTTAATAGTTTATTGATTGTATAATTTAACTCGTATTATATCTTTCTTTCTCAGTGATTCAGTATGGTGTTGGCGATCAGCAAAAAAACTCTGTAACAACCTTTCTGTTTTTTTAATAATCAATATATTGTGATTCATTTGATATCGTAT